ACTCCAATTAAGAAAATTCGGTCCAGTGAGAATGTGATTCCAAGATGCATGCCAGGTAGAATGTGAGAAGTAGCTGCCATTGAAGAATTAATCGAAGAAGAAGAACAAGAAATCGCAAAATTAGGTTAAAGAATATCAAGAATCAAGAAAAATTCCTGACAAAATCAAGAATCATAAGAAGAAGAATCAAAGAAATCGATTGAAAATTGATCAAGGAAGAAGAATCAGATGAAGAAGTAAAGAAAATCGATCAAAATCGATCCAAAATCTTAGGATTTCGGCTTTGATACCATGTACAAACTCAGAATTTAGAGAGAATTTTGGGAGAAAATTAGAAAGAAATTTTATTATGTCAGCTCACACTTTACAACATGTACAAACCACAATATATAGTGTAAGGAAACAAAGAAGCCTCTCGAAGAAGTTTGTTATAACAGTAACAAACTCATAACTAATTTTGCCACATCAGCAGCAAATACATATATAACTCAATAGTTAAATATGTTTTGATCAATATTAAGCACATAGAAGTTTGCTTCCACGAGTAAGGGCCTGTTCACATTTTCTTAAATTCAGTTCAGTTCACTTTAGTTCCAATAAGTTCAGTTCAATTCACCAGCTCTTAATTTCCCTCTCTCATAAACACTACTATAAAATTGGCCAAAGAAACCATATCAAATTGGCCAAAGAGACTACCTTAGGGGTGGTCTCTAGCTCACAGGTCTCTTTGGCCTAAGAGACCACTTCATCAAAAGTAGTCTCTAGCTTCAAAAAGAGAGACCACTTGTTTAAAATAAATAGTCTCAATTTTTTAAAATTTAAGACCACTTATTAAAGATACATGGTCTTATTTTTTTAAAATTCGAGATCACTTATTTAAGATAGGTGGTCTCAGTTTTTACAAAAGTGAGACTGCCTATTTCAAATAGGTGGTCTCTTTCATTATTTTTTTTTAAAAAAAATTAATAATCCCAACCCGCCACCTGCAACCACCTCGATCAAAACCCACCCCAGCCAACAACCTGCACCCACCTCAACGCCCCTCACCCACGCCCACCTGTACCCACCTCAACCGAAACCCACCCCAACAACCTGTACCCACCCTCGACGCCTCTAAGGGCCCTAACCCACGCCCAACTGCACTCTCCTCAACCGAAACCCACCTCGATTGAAACCCACTCCAACAACCTGCACCCACCTCGACGCCCCTAACCCATGCCCACCTGCACCCACCTCGACCCAAACCCAAACCCACCCTCACCATGACCCAAATAGCCCACTCCACCCACCTAAAACCCACACAATCACCACCTAATCTAACCACTAAAATATTCATTTCAGCTTAGTTCAGTTTAGCTCAGTCTAGTTCAGTTTAGTTCATTTACGCTCCAATCAGTTCAATTTAGTTCAGTTCAGCTCAGTTCAATAAATGTGAACATGCCATAAGTCAATTTTTGTATCATTCACTTAAGAAGCTAAGAAAAAAATTTATCAATACAATCAAAATGCATAAAAGTTATTGATTGATAAAATAAAAAAATACAAAAACAAATTGGAACCCACAATAAGTCCGAATTTCTCTAAAACAAAATATTATTACTTTTACTTTTTATGCATTCGCTGTTTGCAATTTATTTTGTCTACCAAATAAGACATGAGGGAGAATAAAGTTTATGTTCCTTGACATATCAAGAATACTCTCTATGAGAATTACTCATGTAGTTTGGTGCTCCCTTTTAAGAGCAAGTAATTGCTAAATGGTAAGCTTTAAACTTTCATTAACAATCAGCAGAATAATAAAGAGATGTTATGCTCTTTTACCAGAGCATTTTGAGCTCCCACCTTCAGGATCTTGCTGGTTATGCTGGATGTTATTCAGATGGAAATAAGCAAAACATGAAAAACTACGCATGGTTACAGACTTACAGCTTGAGGAGCCAAGTAGAGCAGAAGGCAACTCGTAGTCTAGATACAAAGGACCTTGTTAATTGTTATGGGCTATAATTGCATCCTGTGCTTCAACTCAAGAGACAAAAGTGAAAAGTAAAAACATTTCTAAGTAATTTTCTTCTCAGCTTATTTTCTTCTCAGCTTAATTATATGTGATAAAAAATTGGCTTTAATACATTCCGTCACCTGCACTTCCCATTTTCTATTGTTTTGCACTTGTTGGCAAGCTCTTCAGACCACACAACAACTAATGTCTCAAATAACGACTCTCGTTGAACTCTTCTAGTACATCAACGTTAACCTTCAGAACATTGAATTGGCCTCTAGGGGCACCAGACTGCTGCATCACCCTACCACTCGACGCTCTGATCCCTCCTCTCTCGTCTGCATATAAGCTGCCAGGCCAGTAAGGAGACAGCAGCAGCCACCACTTCACAAGAATGCCTTGACGAGCTAATGCACCATGCCAACACCCACCTAGTCACTTCTCAGCTTAATTTGGCTGAATATTTTTTTTTTTTTTTGGTGAAACTTAGTTTATTTTGCTCAACCCAACAAAGTTTTTGTATACTTAACATTTTTTTTCCTTTTTTGTTTGGCTTAATTTGACTTATTTTTATACCAAACATAGCTTAACTTATAATTGTGCTTAATTTGACTTATTTTTAAACCAAACATAACAAATTTGTTAACAAAACTTATTGAAAGATAGCTGATAAGCTACTAAGCTAGGAAGAACAGAGCCTCATAGGAAAGTGTAAGACATCAATCACAAAGATTAGTGAGCGAAGTGTTATAACACTCCTATAATACGTCTGATAGTTACTGCAGCCGTAAAGTAGTACTCCCTCCGTCCCAACCTCATTCTAAAGGGTTCGCCATTGGCAAAAAAGTTGCAACACAATTTGGTGATAATATAATTGATTTTCAAGCATACCTAACAATGAGGTTACATTGTCAACGTCAAAGCTTAACTCAGAAACATCATAGAACGTATAAACTAGTAAAATTTAGGATGACTTTCAACATATTTTATTTGAAAAACAAAAGTCATATCTCTAATTCAATCTATATTATTATTATTGTCGTTATTCAAATTAACATGTTTCTATTATGTTTGTTAAGATTATTTTTATGTTTGTTTGTTTTGTATGGATATACACTACATATTTAATGTTTTACAAATTTTTGTATGTGGCTAGCCACATGATGCGGCAAGGGTTACTTGTAGGCTGTTACTGCCTTACTGGTTTTGTCAGGGGTTACTTATAGGTGTTACTTGTATTCTGGGGGTTACTTGTATGAGTGTTACTGGTTTCGGTCGGGGTTACTTATAGGGTGTTACTGGTTTTGTCAGGGGTTACTTGTAGGTGTTACTTGTATTCTGGGGTTACTTGTATGAGTATTACTGGTTTTGGTCGGGGTTACTTATAGGGTGTTACTGCTTTTGTCAGGGGTTACTGGTAGGTGTTACTGGTATTCTAAGGTTACTTGTATGGGTGTTACTGGTTTTGGTCGGGGTTACTTGTAGCCTTGTAGGGTGTTACTGGTTTTGTCAGGTGTTACTTGTATGACTGTTATTGGTTTTGATCGGGGGATACTTGTAGAGTATTACTGGTTTGGTATGGAATTTTGGTCTGGAGTTACTCAGAATACAAGTAACCCCACAATACAAGTAAGCCATACAAGTAACCCCACAATACAAGTAACCCATACAAGTAACCTCATAATACAAGTAACACCTTACAAGTAACCCCAAAATACAAGTAATCCTAAAATACAAGTAACTGTGCCGCACTGAAAAACCCTGTTAATGTTTTTGATGTTTCTCTTGTACTGAACTTTTGATTATGTATCATCTTTGTTGATTGCAAAATTAAGATTTTTTTCCCATTGTTCTCCATGTATAATAAGAATATACATATGGAATTTTTTTTATAAGGGTCGCCCTTGTACTTAATTTTACACTAATTTGATTAAGTGCCCTTGTGGAGTTAATTACAGTGTATATTTTTAAAATGTTATGTCATGGCGTAATAATAGTGTTAAAAAATAAAATAAAATAAATAAACAACCTTAAACGTGGACCATGCACATGTATGAGTCATGTACTTATGTGGTATACCCCATGTCTCATTATTCAAATTATGCAACAAGAGTAGGATACATAAAGTGAACACAAAGCTTGTATTTTAGGACAATGCATGTAACTTAGCTTTTGTTCTTTCAAAGCAATTCAATTAACTTGAAGTTTTGATTGCTCCATTAAAACTCCAACACGTTTTTGGGTTGTTTTAACTTCTAACTCATCTCCAAATCCACTTTGCTCAAGGCAACCATAGAAATACATTTGTAATGGTTTGTACTGCATGAGGGAAGCCTTTATTTAGGCCATATCCTTCGGTAACAAGGTTGACAATTCCTATTGTAAGGGATTGTTAGCTACTACCAACTAGACAGTATGCTGATTCCCAATACATTCATCTAACTTTGCGAGATTAAGGGACACTTGATTTCTAATATGTTCATCTAGCTAGGCATGTGTCATTACGGGAACATGTGAATGTGATCATATTTTTAGCCATCGCGACTCATTAGGCTTATCCATGTTGAGTCATTAATACCTAATAATACGAAGTAACATATTTTCAACATTGGTTAATTATAATATTCCAAAAGTATTATTGTTGCCGTAATGAAGGCCATGTTATTAAGAAGTCAACGAGGGGAAATTCACACTTCGTCATCACTAATAAAGTACTATATGCTCTATCTTCTATTCCTTTCATTTGAATCTAACTAAAAAGAAATCAAAAACAAAACTGTGTCCCATTATATTTTTCCCAAAAAGGATATTAATTTTTCCATTATATCCCATTGATTTGCATTCCTTTCTTTCACAAAGTCTAAACATTGACTACTCCAACAAAAGAGTAATTTAAGTTTGACTACTTTGTAAAAAGAGTAAAAAGAGAAGATATATACGACAATTCTTTTTTTTTTTTTTTTTTTTGAAGAAATATATACGACAATTCTTAGATATTCATTCAACCTCCAATTTCGTAAGCTAAAATAGCCGCCTATTTAGAAATTTAATAAAAACAAAAAAATAAAAAAATAATAATAAAGAAAGTTAGAAATATAAAAGTCTAAGTCAACAATTACACGTGGAAAGATCCTAAACAGCTAGATTGTACTCAATTCACATTCACATTTTGTAACACAATTAAACCTTTTTATTATCTCATTTTGGATTAATCTTTTATTTTCTCTCTCCTCCCTTTCCTATATAAATACACCCGTTACAACTCTTACTTTACAGTAGACAAAAGTCACAATACATAACTCACAAAATCTTTCATAAGAGAAAAAACGAAGTTTAGTTTATAAGGAGAGAAAGAAAGTGTTAAAAAGAAACACTTAAGAGGGGCAATGGCTGGCGGAGGGTTTGTAGCGCCGTCGAGCGGAGTTGTTTTCGAGGCGAAGATAACTCCGATTGTCATTATTTCTTGTATCTTGGCTGCCACGGGTGGTCTTATGTTTGGTTACGACGTTGGTATTTCAGGTTTGTTTCTTCCTCAGCTTTGTAACCATTGTTTGGATTTAGTTTTTACATTACAAATTAATTAATTTTTTTAAGAATTATGTTAAAAGAAAACAGATAATGTGTGGTCTGTTAATTTTTTTTTCCCAAACATTTACGTTTCATGAATGAGCACTTGAGTAGTATGTATTTAATTTCCTTTTTGTTTTTTATAATAGATGGAAAAGGAAGTAAATATGATTTGATATTTCTTAATAAATTTATGATGCCATATATATGATATGATACAATTTTATTCTATATTTGGGATCATCATTTATGTTTAAGAATTATTGATTGAATTATTACTTTCTAATTTTTAAAATTTATTTTATTATTACTTTTAAAGCTTTTTGGTTTGTAAGATCTTTGAATTTTTGAATTATTAATTTTTGAAATGGACCCTATGTGTTATAAATAGTACGGAATAGAACTACTTCATAGATTCACTCTTCTTTAATTTGTTAATAGTTCCTTTTTTATTTTTAATATCGAAAGAAGAATAGATATTGACATAATTATGATGTTCAAACAAAAAAAATAGCCCTAATTTCTTTCATGTTTTTCCCGCTAAATGAAAAACTCCTTTCCTTTATTCACCCATATTTCTTTTTGGTGTCAAGTAAATACAATTTTATAAGTATCAATTAAGTTAAGTAATAGTTAACTTTTCTATTAAAAAAAAAGTAATAGTTAACTTTTAATTTTAATTTAATTTTAATTTTAATTTCAATATCATTTTGGAAATTTTATTTCTTTATTTAAACATATTAGAGAATTAAAGACTAAAGAACTCCTTTTATTTAATTTCTTAGCTTGTAATAATAGAAAAGAAAATTCACATGAAAAGGAGTATTTCCCGCCTGGTAGTGAAGACAACCAATAGTATGACAAAAATCCAATTACAGATATACCCTCATAAAGTACGTACAGAATTGTCGGAATTATAATCACATGGCATGAGATAGGGGTATTTTCGGAATAAAACAATCAAACCTTTGAAAAATATCCAACGTAGTTGTCTAGTAAAGATTTGCGAGATCAAATAATATGGAATCAGAATCTGAAGTATGACTCGTCTTTTGCTCACCTACTACAACATGGGGTATTCAGTCAAATGCAACAAGCTAATTTTACGTCAGATTAGTTTATGTTGATCTTTTTGAAATTGGATTCTTAGTATATCAAGTGTATAGTTATATAGCTGTGTTTGTCACAACTAACATCTACACCAATATTTGCAAAGACGTGCTATACTCGTCGATAATAAAATAAATAAATTAATGACAGTCTATTGATTTATCATGTGGTTTATGGTTAACTTTCTAACTATACATACATGTACATGTCATTTTCGCTGTCGTATTTTAGTCATTATTATTCCACTGACAATATCGATAAATTTTGAGTGTGTAAAATTAAAGTAAATGCAAGATTGTTACTTGTGTCATTTGCCTAACAACGGTACCAAATACTCAATATGTGTGATTGGTTAATGTTAGGTGATTAGGATTGCGTTGATGTAACAATTATGTGGAAAGTTGATAGTAACATATGGGAACAAAATGTGGTGTGATTGTATGAATTAAGTAATTAAATTTGTTGAAATGCAGGGGGTGTGACATCAATGAACCCTTTCTTGGAGAAATTCTTTCCAGCAGTGTACCATAAAAAAAATTCACCATCTGCTAACCAAAGTAACTATTGTCAATATGACAACCAGGGGCTGCAATTATTCACCTCATCTTTATACCTTGCTGCCTTGGTTGCCACTTTTTTCGCGTCGTATACAACCAGGCAGCTGGGGAGGAGGCTAACGATGTTGATCGCCGGGGTTTTCTTCATCGTCGGTGTGGTGCTTAATGCTGCTGCTCAAGATCTTGCTATGCTTATTGTTGGTAGGATTTTGCTTGGTTGTGGAGTTGGCTTTGCTAATCAGGTAATTCTTTTTACTTTTGATGCCAATTTTTTCAACTATTTTTCCCAAAAGTTGTTGGAGGAACCAATAGTCTTACTGCATGTCAATTTTTAATTTGTGGGGGAAATTTGTTTTGACTTTTGGGTGAAATTTTATGTTCTCTTGAATAATTTAAGGGTTTACACTATGTACGTCATTGCTTAGTAACTAATTTAAGTGAATTATTGCATGTTACTAATAATATTATGAATATCATTATGTTGAATAAATTGAATTTTTCAAAATATCATAAAAGACTAAAATATGAATATGACTTATTAGGAGAAGATTAAACAAGTCCACCTTGGTAGACTTGAAAGACGGGACAAACTATATACATAAGACTTGCAATAGTCTTTTTCATGTATACGCTTTTAGATTTTCTTCTTACAAAAGAGTAATCATATCAATTGTAGTTGATTTGTATACACTCCTTTTTGGACTAGCTTTACAATTGGTTCATATCATGAAATATATATCATACTTTTCCGTCTTTAAATATTGTTCTTACTTTAACAGTAATTGAATCACGAAAAAAAAAAAATCAAAGTAAGTATACGAGCAATAGCTAGAGATGAAGTAATATTCTATTACAATAAGCTAATAATGTTTACTCCTATAAATGAAAAGATATTTTGTTCTCACAACACAAGTCTCACAAGTTATAACTATTTTAGACACGCATAGACACGATATAATTGGTCCAAATGTTTATCTATTGATATTCTAAATCAGCAGGCCATTAGGTCAAGATAAGAACTTGATTGCAAGATGATTTACTTAACTCACTTAAAGCAATTACATAATCAAACACATATGAAGTGGACCCTTTCATTTTTCACTTGAAACTAACAAATTTGGGTTCAATTGGTTTTCTTTTAATGGCCCCATAATAAAATATCATTGTTACATTATGGACCGACACCATTAACTCATTAAACATGACTAATGATTTTACATCACGATAAAACCTGGACCGTTGTGCAACTTATCTTGAATATAATAACTTTGATTATGACATAAATATACATGTGATATTGTGATTTATCCTTTTTACTCAAATTAATTTAACCTTCTAGAATTAAGGTTATTTTAACAACATTTCATGTGAGCTGGATATTATATACTCCTATAGTCCCATCCTATCTTTAAAAATAATTTGGTGGGCCAACTCATCCAATTTCTTTGAAACTTCGTCATACATGCTTTATTTAAATTAAATTTGCTTTACTTTATTGGAAGTTTGTGGACCTTTTTTCTTTATTTTTTAGATTATAATGACTTTTATGAGTACTATTTAAAACTTTTTTTCGAGTTTTGTATGTGAATATTAAAATAATTCACAAGTAGGTTGATGGGAGTTAACTTTTTTGAATATTGTTGTGATATTCTTTTTCTTATCCGTTAATTTTATAAAGTATTATTTGTATTATTTATCTTGTTTTATGACTTGGAATCCAACTTTTTGTGATTATAATAAGCACGCATGTCATGCTTGTGATCTGCCAATGTAGTAAATACTTCTATAAAGAAAATTAAACTTCTGGATTTACTTTATAATGTTAGAAAAGGCTAGAAAAATACAATTCCAACTTTTTATTTTATGCTCCATGGTGACGTAATAAGTAAAATACATTTTAATCACTTTTGTTTTTATTATCCATCGTAATTTCGGTACATAGTAACATATTGTAACTAACATACAAAGTACATTTTAATGGTTTATAGTATATGGAGTAATTATATTGATGATATTTATTTGTGGTTCTTAAGTTGTTATATGTCTTATATTGACTTTAAGAGTAAAAGAAAAAAAATTCAAATATTGTTAGTTGTCTTAACAGTATTGTATACTTCTCATCAAAGAATTGCTTTTAAATTCAAGTAATTTTGACTTTACAACAATCATCATAATTCATGTTCAAGTTGTATGTGTACCCATGTTCAAATTGTATCCATCTATGTATATGCGAAGTTTCATATCAACAACATGCTTATTGCTTCCTAATTCAAAATTAAAGAGACTAAGATAAATATTCCGTAATAGTGTATGCAACCTTGACACATACAAAATCGGATATATATTGGATAACATCTTTTGTTGATTTTGACATATAAACTTACAAATGTTTCTTTAATATTTAGACATCAATGCATTTTTACTTTTTTTGGTAAAATCACATTAATGATTTTTTTTTTTTTTTTTTTTTTTTTTTTGAAACATTAATGAATTCATATGTGTATTTAGTCTAATAAAATTGTTTTCAAAATGGATGAACAACAGGCAGTTCCCGTGTTTCTATCAGAGATAGCACCCACCCAAATTCGAGGTGGTCTTAATATTTTATTTCAGCTCAACGTCACCATCGGTATTCTTTTTGCCAACCTCGTTAATTATGGCACCGATAAGTAAGTTCCTTTTTTCCTCATCTTTTATTTTATTTTATGTTCAATGCTTACTTCAAGATCTATTTTTAGTTACTATAATTGAGTATTCTTTAAGAATAAAAAGGGAATGTAACTACTAATTATATAATAATAACCGATAATATTACATTGATAACCAAGCAATTATTTTTCTATCATAGATTATTTTAATATTTGATTGATTTACATTATTATATGATGATTAAGTAGTAACTGTCTGTGATAATTATTGTGTTAAAAGAACAATATTATGTGCACAATTTTTAAAATATAACGTAATTTGCAAACAAATCTTTACGCTGAATTGAGATGATTAAACAATGTCTTCCATTGATCGAGGTGATGGGTCGTTGAATATTATTCAAAATTTGTATAAATTATTAAGCATGAATCAGGGGATTCAATTATTAAGCATGAATTGATATGATTAAACAAAGTCTTTCTTAGACCATGTTTTTGTTATTTTTAATTGTAATTTAATTTTTGTATCTCTTGATGTTTTGGTACATATTAGTTGGACTTAGCTTACCTAAGTCTTAAAGGGTAAATGGCTAACGTGTTTAATGATCAACACTCAAGTTTTTCTTATTTTATGAAAGTTACAACTTTAGAGAGATACTATACTTGGTTTTCTGTAACTTCTGATTTGGGGTACTCTATATTTACGAATTACTTTGTAAAGTCCTACGTTGGTGTTTGACCTAAAATTAAATTCCGTTAACATTATTGTCTTGTGTGTACCATTACCAAAAATGAATATGATCATATGACAGTAGCGATAAAAGCAATCTGGCCAAGTTAATAACGGCCTACTTTTATAAACTTCCTTATGGCCCATAGGCCCATATCTACAAAGGACACGAGTTATAACCTGAAATCTGTAGGACAGAGTTATGACACTTATTAGAAAGTAGTCCCCGATTTTCTCATGTTATATAACTAGTTAATGTGATACATCTACTATATAGTTTAATTGTCATTGATTCAATTGTACATTGTAGTGTTTAACTGATATGGACTCGAAATAATTGTGCTAAAATGTTAATGTTATGAATGTGTTCGACAATTACAGAATGAAAGGAGGAAATGGATGGAGGGTGTCATTAGGAATTGCAGGAATTCCAGCCTGCCTACTAACCTTGGGAGCTCTCTTTGTTACGGACACACCTAACAGTCTTATTGAAAGAGGGCGCTTAGATGAAGGCAAAGCCGTTCTTAGAAAAATTAGAGGCACAGATAACATTGAGCCTGAATTCAATGAACTCGTTGAGGCTAGTCGTATTGCCAAAGAAGTCAAGCACCCTTTCAGAAATCTCCTTAAAAGAAGAAATCGCCCCCAGCTCGTTATTTCTATTGCCTTGCAGGTACATCAGTAGTACTAATTAAGCTAGTGTGATAATTTTTTTTTTGCATTTAAGTTTGCTTAACTTACAGATGTTAATGGTTTGTTCACTAATGTTGTTTTTCGTGGTTGTTCAGATCTTTCAACAATTTACTGGAATTAATGCAATCATGTTCTACGCCCCGGTCTTATTCAACACCTTAGGATTCGGAGGCAATGCATCTTTGTACTCAGCAGTGATCACTGGAGCAGTAAATGTCCTCTCCACTGTCGTCTCTATTTACTCTGTGGACAAACTAGGGAGACGAATTCTTCTCCTTGAGGCCGGAGTTCAGATGTTTTTGTCTCAGGTGATCATAGCCATAATTCTCGGGCTTAAGGTCAAGGATCATTCCAACGATCTAGGTCATGGCTATGCAATTTTAGTAGTCATAATGGTATGCACTTTTGTCGCAGCCTTTGCGTGGTCATGGGGGCCTCTTGGATGGCTAATCCCTTCGGAGACCTTCCCCTTGGAAACCCGATCAGCAGGGCAAAGTGTGACTGTTTGTGTTAATATGCTCTTCACTTTTGTCATCGGACAAGCTTTCTTGTCCATGCTTTGCAAGTTTAAGTTCGGTATTTTCCTCTTCTTCTCTGGGTGGGTCTTGGTGATGTCCCTTTTCGTAGTTTTCTTGCTTCCTGAAACCAAGAACATCCCGATTGAGGAAATGACCGAGAAGGTATGGAAAAGACATTGGCTTTGGAAAAGATTCATGGATAACGACGAGGACTATGTTGGTGGAATTCAAGTTAACTCGATCAAGCCAGCTAAATGGTAAAAGTAATGGAGCTACTGCTGCACTTAAAAGTTTGGTGTATCAATTTCAATGCAATACAAACCTCAATATTTGTTAGTAATACAATTATTATACAGTAATTTAGCTGATATGATGGAAGTAAATAGGATATTGACGATAATCAGGGTATACTTTGGTAGCGAAACTGTGCCCTTCCTACTCTTAATGAGCTAGGATTTTCTATAATGAGTGAACAGGCTTATTTCTTTGATTCTCTACTGATTTTTACGTTGTTTATAAAATGTTGATGCAATTTCACATTAACTTAATAATGGAAGCTTAGTAAAACTCTGTTTGTCTTTGTAAAGCTTATGCAAACTACAAATTGTACGAAACTTATACTATTCTAGTCTTTGTAAAGCTTAAGCAGAACACTCAAATAATTATTATTCTTTCGATTGTCTGAACTGTCTCTCTTCACTCTTGTTTAGTAATTGCTAAATTGTATAAAACCTCAAAGCTTGAGTTTCAATGATTACTCTCATGGCCAATATATAATACAAGCAATCCCTAATTTGATAGAATTAGGAAACTACCTAAAAGATATTCACAATATATTCTAGGCATAAAATAGGTAACAAAACATATCCTAAAATATAGCAAAATATATCCCACCATACACCCTATCAAGTTGGGGCATGTGGATCGTAAATGCCCAACTTGAAAAGGAGATGATCAAACCGAGTCTTCCCAAGCGCTTTAGTAAAAATATCTGCAAGTTGCTCCTTAGTAGAGACATAGGAAGGAGCAATTAAGTCCTTTGTAATGGAATCACGAACTATGTGACAATCAATCTCAATGTGCTTTGTACGTTCATGAAAAACTGGATTACGAGCTATATGTAAAGCAGATTGATTATCACAAAACAACTTGATCGCTTTAGGGTGGTGAACACCCATACTTAAAAGCAAAGCCTTCAACCACTTCAACTCATGTGCGGTTGCAAACATGCAACGATACTCAGCCTCCGAAGAAGATGAAGCAACCGTGGGTTGTTTCTTGGTCTTCCAAGAAATAGGAGATTTACCAAGAAACACAAGCCAACCTGTCAACGAACGACGAGTAAGAGGACACGCCGCCCAATTTGAATCACACCAACCCTGCAAAGTCAGGTCACTATCTGCACTCAACAAAATACCCTATCCAGGGTACCTTTAAATAACGAACCACCCTGAGAGCTGCTTCCCAATGCTCAATTCGTGGGGCATGCATAAACTGTGAAAGAATATGAACCGAATATGCCAAATCCGGTCTAGTAACCGAGAGATAAATCAACCGCCCTATTAGTCTGCGATATGACTCAGGATTCACAAGCAATTCTCCACTAGCAAGGCTAAGTTTGTGGTTTTGCTCAATCGGAAAACCACTTGGTTTCGCACCTAATAACCCTGCTTCAGAAATAATATCCAAGGTATATTTTCGTTGACACAAAACAAACCTGACTTACTACGAGCAACCTCAATGCCCAAAAAATACTTCAAAGGACCATGGTCTTTCATTTTGAAACAATCACCAAGATAAGCCTTGAAAACAGTCAATGCAGCGGAATTATTCCCAGAAACAATAAGATCATCAACATAGACTAAGACATTAATCTGAACATTGCCTTTAGTGTATGTAAAAAGAGAGTAATTTGAGTAAGATTGTAGAAAATCATACCCTTTCAAAGCCGCAGTTAATTTAGCAAACCAACACCTTGGAGCTTGCTTCAATCCATACAAAGACTTACTCAATCGACAAACCAAACTCGGATTCGAGCTCTCAAAACCCGGAGGTAATTTCATGTACATCTCTTCATCCAAATCACCATGTAAAAAAGCATTATGGACATCCATTTGTTGAAGTTCCCAATTCTTAGTAATATCAATAACAAGAAAAGCACGCACCATAGACATTTTTGCAACCGGAGAAAAAGTCTCACCATAATCAATACATTCTTGTTGATGATTACCAAAAACAACCAAACGAGACTTGAGACGTTCAATATCACCATTTGACAAAAACTTTGTCTTGTACACTCATTGACTGCCTAGAGCCTTCTTCCTGGGAGGAAGATGCTCTAATGTCCAAGTCCCATTGTCCTCTAATGCCCGTATTTCCTCTTTCATAGTATGTCGCCAACCCTCCGATTTCATTGCCTCTTTAAAGGATTTAGGATCCTTTACCTGAATAACGGTTGCAAGAAATTTTCGATAAGTCACAGAAAACATGCCACAATTTATATAATGTGCTAAAGGGTAAGGCGTACCTGAAGGAGTGTTGGATGACGGAGAGGACGGAGACGGAATATTAGCAAAGACGGAATAAGTCACAAAATCACGGAACTTTACAGACAAAAATTTTTCACGGTGACCTTTACCCAACAATTCCGGTGAAGGCAAATCGGAGGAATGCTGCTCGGCATTTGTGGTGGGGCTGCTATGCTTTACAACCACCCTGATGTTGTGCTCGGTAGTCCCAGCTGCCGCTAGAGGACTAGTGGGTGTGGCAGTAGCTGGGCTGCTTTGCAGCAGTGCTGACCTTGCGCCCGCAGGTTCTCTCACGACAGGGGTTGCTGCTGGGTGATGTTCCTGCCCAGCCGCGGGTTCTGCTGTGGCCACATGATCCGTAGCAGTGTCAAGAGGCTGCGAGGCAGCCTGCAGATCTTCAGCAATTGTACTAGTATCATCAAACACCTCACACTCCATAAAGTCTTCATGAATATCCACATTATCATAGGAATTTGGCTCTATATTAACCTCATCCGGAGTATCGAATGGAAACACCCCTTCAACAAATTTCACATCCCGAGAGACAAAGAAAACTTTTGACTCTAGATCAAACACTCTCCATCCTTTCTTTCCAAAAGGGTATCCTACAAAAACACATTTTCTGATTATGAGCAAAACATAAACAACCGAAAGTGCGAGTAGCATAAAAAAACGGAGGTTTATTAAAAAGCATTTCAAAAGGAGTTTTATATTGGAGCAAGGGTGTGGGAGTGCGGTTAATAAGATGTGCAGCAGCTAGGACACACTCACCCCAAAAATAAATTGGTAAATTGGCTTGAAATCTCAAAGCTCTCCTAACATTAAGAATGTGTTTTTGTTTACGCTCAACCCTCCCATTTTGTTGTGGGGTACCGACGCAAGAGGTTTGGAAAAGAATTCCGGAGGCAAGAAAGTAATCATGTAAGCAATTAAACTCAGTACCATTGTCACTTTGCACAATTTTTATGGTCTGGGAAAATTGTCTATCAACCATAGCAACAAAAGCCAAATTCATTATAAGAACTTTAGTTTTATCAACCAACAAATAAATCCAAACAGCTCTTGAATAATCATCAACTATAGTAAAAATATAACGAGCTCCACATGACGACATATGTCGATATGGACCCCACAAATCACAATGTACTTTTTAAAAAAATTCTAGAAGCTCGACCATCACTAAGAGGAAATTTGTCTCTAGGATGTTTAGCACGCATACATATTTCACACCCCTTATCTAGACAATCTTTATTACTACTAACATGAGGAAGCAACTTAAGTACTTTCTCAGAAGGATGCCCAAGCCGACGATGCCACAACTCCAGATTTGAGGTCGCTTCACCAACACCAACATGATGCACCGAATCCGAATTGCTAAAACACTACTAGAAAACAACAGAATTACGAAGGAAATTTTCCGTCGAAAACACCCCGTTTTCCGTCGCAAAACCTGTTTCTGACGGAACTGGTTGTCGCAATATAGTTTGTCGGGAAAACGCACTTTTCCGACGAAATTGTTCCGACGGAATTTCTGACGGAAATCAGTCCGTCTGAAGAGGTTTTAGGGCCTGGGAATGTCCGTCAAAAATTTTCGACGGACTGTATTCCGCCGGAAAATTCTGACAGAAATTCCGTCGAAAAATGGTTAAAAAAAAAGGCTGCCCCACCACCAGCCACCACCGCACAACACCTGCCCCAGCCCACCTAACCTATACCACCACTGCACAGTACCAGCCCCACACCAGCCCACCTAACCCGTACCACCATCGCACAGCACCAGCCCACCTAACCCGTACCACCACCGCACAACAACAGCCCCACACCAGCCCACCGAAACCTCCACCAGAACCGCAAAAGATCAGACTCCCTAAACCCAAGCCCACCCAAACCAAACCCAGATCTACAACCCTAACCCTTACAAATTCGGCTGAACCCCCCAACCTAAGCAAACCACCCACCACCCACCTAAAAACCACCAGTGGTCACCGAAAACCACCGTCACCACCAAAAATTAAAAAAAAAATAAAATCCTTAACCATTACAACCAAAACCCGAACTCCAACAGCAATCACCTTCATTCCACCACCATAAATTGTAAAAAAAAATCCAATAAAACAACAAAATAAAATCAAAATTGAAAAATGAGTTACATACCTTAATTCGACCACACATAACCTTGAAATTGGGTTTAAGAGGCCAAATTCGACCATAAAAACTCTAGATCTAGAGTTTTCATGGTCAAATTTGACCCGAAAACCTTTGTTTTAAGCATGAAAAGAGAGAGAAAGGGCGAAAAAGATGAAAATTGTTGTTGATGTTGATGCGTGTTGTTGATGTCGTTATTGATGGTGTTGTTGTTGATGTCGGTGGTTAGTGTTGGCGGTGGTGGTGGGAGATTTGAGGTGGTCGAAAGAGAGGAATTGAAAGTAAAGTATAGGAGAGATAGAAGAAGGAGAACGAGAGAGAAAGAAGAAGGAGAACGAGAGAGAGAGAATGAGAAGGAGATTCAGAGAGAGAAGGAGTGAGAACGGAGAACATAAGAGAAGGAGAGGAGAGAGAAGAGGAAAGACAAAGAGAAGAAGATAGAGGGAGGATAGGCGGAAATAAAATATGGGTGTTAGGGTTTTGAAGTTTTTTTTTTAATTTATTCCGACGGACTATAAATCCGTCGGAAAAAGTAATTTCCGACGAAAATATCTGTCGGAAAGCACATATATTTCGACTACAAATCCGTCGGAATTAAAATCCGTTGGAAATTTTGATTTTTCCGACAGAATAATGGGTCCGTCGGAAGCAGTCCGTCGCTATTTCCCTGTTTTCTAGTAGTGAAATAATATAATCCGTCTCTCCTAGCTCCCGTTCCAATAAGCTCCTTCGTATGGTTCTTTATAGAACACATATAAGTGTTAAATTGGACGATACAATTAAGCTCATCTGCGAGTTAAGACACAGAATTCAAATTATAACTTAAGTGAGGAACATAAAGAACTCCGGTTAAAGTGAGCTTGTCCGACA